AATCCCCAGTACCAAAAAAAAAAAAAAAAAAAGAGAATATATTGGGACAATAATAATTCTTTTTAACAATTGGTGCTAGAATAATTGAACATCCACGTCCAAAAATAAAATAAAAAAAGACTGCACACAGACTTTACACCTTTCACAAAATTTAGCTCAAAATAGATCCCAGACCTAAATGGTAAATGTAAAACTATACAGTTCCTAAAGGTTATAGGAAAAAATCTGGACGATTGTGGGTTTGGTGATAATTTTATATATATAACACCAAAGGTACAATCCAAGAAAGAAAGAATCAATAAGCTAGATTTCATTAAAATTGGAATTTTCTGTTTTGTAAAAGATATTTTCAAGAGATAGTCTTGGGTCTGGGGCTATGACTCAGTGGTAGAACACTTGCCTAGCATGTGTGAGGCACTGGGTTCAAACCTCAGCACCACATAAAACATAAATAAGTAAAGTTTAAAAAATAAAGAATTGGGGGGAAAATAGAGAGAGAGAGAGAGAGAGAGAGAGAGAGAGAGACTGACTTCCACATACTGGAAGAAAGTACTTACAAAAGGCATTTCTAATAAAGGACTATTATCCAAAATATACAAAGAACTCTTAAAGGCTAAGGATGTAACTCAGTGATAGAGTGCTTGCCTAGCCTGTGTAAGGCCTTGGGTTAAATACCCAGTACCATCAAAAACAAACAAACAAAACCCCACAGAACTCTTAAAGTTCAACATTAAAAAAAAATAAACAAACTGATTTTAAAATGGTCCAAAGACCTTAATAGACGCCTAATCAGAAAAGATATACAGAAGCTGGGCCCAGTGGCACATGCCTGTAATACCAGTGACAGGGAGGCTGAGACAGGAGGATCACGAGTTCAAAGCCAGCCTCACCAAAGTGAGGTGCTAAGCAACTCAGTGAGACCCTTCTCTAGATAAAATATAAAATAGGGCTGGGGATGTGGCTCAGTGGCTGAGTGCCCCTGAGTTCAATCCCCCCACACAGCAACAAAAAAAAGATATACAGATAGCAAATATACATATGAAAAGATGCACCACATTATCTGTCATCAGGGAAATGCAAATCAAAACAAGATAACACTATAAAACTATTATCATAGAGTATTATTCAGCTTTTAAAAAAGAAGGAAATCGTGGGCACCTGTAATCCCAGTGGTTCAGGAGGCTGAAGCAGGAGGATCACAAGTTGAAAGCCAGCCTCAGCAACTTAGTGAGCCCTAAGCAATTTAGTGAGACCCTGTCTAAATAAAACATAAGAACGGCTGGGACTGTTGCTCAGTGGTTAAGCACTCCTGGGTTCAATTTCTGGTACAAAAAATAAAAGAAGGAGGGGGAGGAGGAAATCCTGCCATTTTTCAGCCACATGGATGAACCTAGTGACATTTTGCTAAATAAAATAAGCCAGCCACAGGAAAAAAAAAATACTACATGATCTCACTTATCTCTGGAATAATTAAAAACAAATTCACAAAAGCAGAAAGTAGAATGGTGGTTCCCAGGGGCTCTGGGGGAGAGGAAATGGGGAAATGTTGGTCAAAGGATGCAGAGTTTTAGTTATGTAGGATGAATAAATTCTAGAGATCTCAGGACAGCATGGCAACTATAGTTAATGATACTGTATTTTATACTCACAGTTTGCCCAGAGAGTAGATCTTAAGTCTTCTCACCATGCACAAAAAAAAAAAATGGTAACTTTGTGAGGTGATGATATTTTAATTAGCTTGACTATAATTATCATTTCATAATGAATATCAAAACATCATGTTTTATACCTTAAACATATTGGCCAAATCCAAAGCATTGACAACACCAGATGCTGGTAGGGATTGGAGGAACAGTAATCCTCATTTGTCGCTGGTGCCACCACTTTGGAAGACATTTTGATGATTTCTTACAAAACTAAACATATTCTTACCAAATGATCCAGCAATCCAAACCTCTTGGTATTTTCCCACAGGAGTTGAAAAGTTATGCCCACATAAAAAACCTGCAAGTGGATGTTTATAATGGCTTTATTCATAATTGCCAAAACTTGGAATCAACCAAGATGTCCTTCAGCAGATGAATATTGAATAAATAAACTGTGGTGCATTCACATAATAGACTGTTATTCATTATCAAAAATAGATGAACTGTTAAGCCATGAAAAGATGTGGTGGGGCAACTTAAATATATGTTACTTAGTGAAAGAAGCCAATCTGTAAAGTCTGCATGCTGTATGATTACAACTGTATGACTTCCTGGAAAAGGCAAAAAGATCAGCGGTTGTTAGCAGGGGTAGAAGGGATGAATATGCAGAGCACAGGATGTTTAGGGCAATGAAAACACTCTGCATGATATCTATAATAGTGAATGTTCCCTGGGCTCAAGGCAGAGGCTGCTGGAGTCCTGACTAGCTGCATTCAATTGCCCACCTACATTAGAAATAAGAAAAGTAATATAAAAAGGGAAAAACAATAGTCACAGTTGTGCCCAAACTGAAGAGCCAGCAAATCTACCTTTGCAGTCTTATAGGAACATAATTTATAGGAACAGAAGTATTCATATGTATACTGTGCCAGCCAAAGGATATGTTACAATTTCAGTTCAACCTTTGCTGACATCAGGGCTTTGAGGAAGGGCAGTTTTAGCCTCTGTTCTCATCACAAGACATGGCTTGTAGGAAGCTGGGATGGAGAAAATAGCTTTAGCAGGAAATTGAGAAGAAAAAAATAACTTAGGGCTTCTAATTATAAATGAGCCCCTTTACAGATATATGTCACTATACATTTACCCAAACTCATAGAGTATCCATCAAGAGTAAACCCAAATGTAAACTGATGGTGATGTATCAATGTAGGTTCATCAATTATAATAAATATACCCCTCTGCTGGGTGATATTTGATCATGAGGGAGGTTGTGCATGGCGGGGAGGGTTCCTTCTGCTCAATTTTGCTATAAATCTAAAGCTTCTCTAAAAATATAAACTGTATTAAAATAAATAAACATATTTTTGAAGACAGTTTTTTACAACAAAAAGAAGCAGGCGTGGAAGGTATTACCATCCCAATTTTATGTGTGAGAAGACAGAACCCAGTGAGATTGCCATTTTCCCAGTGTGCACTGGTATGGCAAAACTCAAACCAGAGCAAGACTCTTATACCTAACTCAAAGCCCTGTCTCCCATCCCTCCTGGTGCCAATGTGTGGAAGTGGTAGCAGCCTGTAGGAAGTGATTATATTTCAGTTTTGACCACAGTCTGTGCTCATGGGTTGGCAATGTTTCTTAAATAATTGAATGGAAGACCAGCAGTGTTGTGTTCTGGAATAATACCATGCTCTATTTAAATGGGCCATATCTTATCTTCCCAAACTACTGCTGCATATACATACTGGATCAACCCTTGAGCCAAAAGTCATCTTAAGCAAAAAACAGCTGTAATTGAGACTTCTTGACAGATTGACTCTCAGTAACAGTGAGATTCTCATTTCAGCTCTCTACAGAATGGATAGGAGGTATCCCCCCCTAAAGAGCCTGTGTTAATGCAGGAATATTCAGAGATAAAATGATTAGATTATGAGAACTGTAACCTAATCAGTCCATCCTAGTTTGAATGGCCTGAGTGGGTGGTAATTGTAGGCAGGTTGGGCATGGCTGAAGAAGGTGGATCACTGGGGGCTTAACCTGGAAGGGTGCATCTTTCCTGTGGCCCCTTTCCTTTCTCCCTTTGTTTGCTTCCTGGCTGCCTTGGACTGAGCAGCTTTCTTCTGCCATGATGTTCTGTTCATTTGGACCCAGAGCAATGGGGTCAGCCAACCATGGACTGAACCTCCAAAACCATGAATCAAGATAAACTTTTCCTCCTCTTGGTTGTTCTTGTCAGATATTTTGGTCCCAGAGACAAAAAGCTGACTGATGTGGCAACCAAACTGAATATTTTATCATCAGTAATAAGTGTAAAAGGGCTTGAATTAGAAACAGAGCAATATATTGTTGAGTGCTTTTTGTTTATCTGTCTACTGGTATGTGTTGAGGGGCATCAAAAGAGAATATCAGACATAGTGGATCTTGACTCCCCAGGAGCTTATAGGCCAATCGAGGAAAGAAAACACACCACAAAAGACTCTGCATATTCATACATACTAAGATGGAATTGGGAAGGTGTTTGAGTTTTGACTTGCCTCTGAAACGGACCCTGAGTCTATGTGTTTTGAAGAGAAGGTTTAAAAAGAGAAGGAAAACAAGGCAAGGAATGGAAAACAGCCAATAAAGAAAGCATTATTAAGCCAGGTGCAGTAGCTCATGCCTGTAATCCCAGCAGCTCCGGAGGCCCGAGATAGGAGTTCAAAGCCAGCCTCAGCAAAAGCAACGTGCTAAGCAACTCAGTGAGACCCTGTCTCTAAATAAAACACAAAATAGGGCTGGGGATGTGACTCAGTGGTTAAATACCCAGAGTTCAATCCCCAGTCAAAAAATAAATAAATAAATAAATAAAAGAAAACATTATTAGACAAATATCAAATATCACAATGAGTGATTCCAGGTTAATCCTATGAGGAGACATTGGGAAATGGTATCCAACACATGCCTCAGAGTCATTCTCCCCTTCTGAGGGCTGCAGTTGGGGGTATTAAGGACTCTCTCAGGGATATTAATTCTCCAGCACTTCTGCCTGCCAGTAATATAGGCAGAGCAGCTTTTTGCAGTTCTGGAAAAAAATCCTCAGATATAGTGGGCAGATATTGACACCTGGAAGTCAGCCTGTGCATGTAAAACAGAAAAGTCCAAGACTGTGGGCAGGGGACTGACAGAGTATCTGCTGCAGTAGGATTCTTGGTGGAGGTGAGACTTGACATTGTTCTTTTGTTGTTGTTGTTTATTTATTTGTTTGTTTTGTTGGTGCTGGGGATTGAACTCTGGGCCTTGGGCCTGCAAGGCAAGCACTCTACCAATTGAGCTATATCCCCAGCCTCCTGACAGTGCTCTTTTTCTTTTCTCCCCAGGCTTCCTCATGACCTTGTCCCTGTTGTCCATTGTGTATGGAGCTTTGCGCTGCAACATCCTAGCCATCAAAATCAAGTATGATGAATATGAGGTCAAAGTGAAGCCTCTGGCCTATGTCTGCATCTTCTTCTGGAGGGGCTTTGAGATTGCCACACGAGTCATTGTCCTGGTCCTCTTTACCTCTGTCCTGAAGACCTGGGTGGTGATGATCGTACTCATCAACTTCTTCAGCTTCTTCTTGTACCCCTGGATCATCTTCTGGTGCAGTGGCTCCCCATTCCCCGAAAATATAGAGAAGGCCCTCACCCGGGTGGGCACCACCATCGTGCTGTGCTTCCTCACTTTACTGTATGCTGGCATCAACATGTTCTGCTGGTCAGCTGTACAGCTGAAAATTGATGACCCTGACCTCATCAGCAAGTCCCAGAATTGGTACCGGCTCCTGGTGTACTACATGTTGAGATTCATCGAGAACGCCATCCTCCTGCTCCTGTGGTATCTTTTCAAGACTGACATTTATATGTATGTGTGTGCACCTCTGTTGATTCTGCAGCTGCTCGTTGGGTACTGCACAGCCATTCTCTTCATGCTCGTGTTCTACCAGTTCTTTCACCCTTGCAAAAAGCTCTTCTCCTCCAGTGTTTCTGAAAGCTTCCAGGCATTTCTCAAGTGTTCCTGCTGGAGACGGAGGCAGAAATCCTGTGAGTCCTTAGAAGAGACAGACCTGAGGTCATCCAGAAAACAAGAGGAGATGCCTTCTAGCAGTAAAAGAAGTCCTGAGCCCATTCATATCTTTAGTGCTGAAGAACTGTGCTCTGCTTAAGGGACCCAAGGTCTCTCAGGGCACAGGCATATTGTTTTCTGGGTTGATACCTGTTCTTCATGTAAGCGATGAGCATTGCACAGGGAACCTGGCAGGAAGTTAGCTGTCAACTCCTCATAAGCTGCTGCTCTTTAGGTGCTCTTGGGTATGTGGGAACTAGGGGGAGAAGCCAGGGACACTTGGTGCCGAAGGAGAAGCCTAAAGCACAACAGTTTACAGGTGACCATGTTGTGTTTTTGCAGGTCTTTTTGGCCTTTTCACTGACAGAGTACCCTTGAAGTCTGAGTTAGGCTGGTTAGATCCATCAGGTAGAATGAGGCAAGGGGCTTACTTGTTTTCTAGTTTTCTGGATTATTAGTCTGATAGCCTGATAATTTGTTTCCCCCAAACTTAGTTTTTACCCAAGAGCTGTCCTGATGACCAGAGAAGGTTACTAGGGTTTTGCCATCAGCAACATCATTCCTGTCAGAGCTTACAGGGAGGGTTGTTCAAGTTTGGTTTTTGAATAGATACATGTTCTATTTTCATCTCATTAGGGCTTTTTGTACATAACCAACTATAGCCACATGGCATGCTATCATCTGTAATTGATTTGAGACCCTAGATTTGGAAACTTGATTCCCTAGGATCCATGGCTGCAACATTGCATTCTAAATTTGGTTATGGAAGCCCTAGATTTTTAGGAAAGTCGTGTTCCTTCCATATGTTGAAGAAATTGTGGATCAGGAAGGTTGTTAAAACATCAAAATGATGGAGGCTTATGTAAGTAGAATTCCTCCCTTCACAGAATGTTTGAAGATGTGAGTCAGCTTGAAGGCAGGCTTTAACCTCCACAAGGTTCAGTCATGTCGTACAGTTCTGGGAAATTTCTAGTAGAATTTGCTAGGATTCACCTTTTCAGGAAAGAATTAAATTAAAGTGATAGTTTTCACTCTGGCCTCCCCCTTCCATGTTTGTCAGGAAAGTTTGAGACAAGAGTTACCTCAGTTAACTTAAGTTTTTCTAGAAAACCCTGCAGAAATCTCTTGCCCAGTGCAGGTATATAGGGCATTTTAATTTTCATTATTTGAAGGGAAAGGATTTTCCTCACCACCCACCCCTAGATAGTGATTGACTTAAGAAACATTTTCAGTAAATAGAGATGACATGACTAGAAGACTTTTTTGTCCCTCAAGGAATACATTTTGGTTTGGCATAATTGTAAGTTAATTTGAACAAGATCTCCAGTTTTATCATCTATATAATTTCTTCTTTAATCTAGAATTCTCTTGTTTCATTAAAGAGGATTGGCTAGCATGTTCTCAATTGTCTTTTAAAAAAATGCCTAGTGCTAGTGCTATTATTTCTACCTTTTAGCATCTTGATAATAAAATACCTGGAAACGGGAAACCATAAAGATCACACTAATTTAGAGTGAGGATGAAAGTAAGACCTGAGAAATTTACAAAGATAACTCATTTATGGACTCTACTTTACCAGATGGAACAGGAATCCACTTCTCTGACTATATGAATGCACAAGACATACTTATTTGGCCATCCTGATTCTGATAATTTTCCTTTTTAATTTTTTTTGTGTGTCAAATATATAAGTAATTTCATACAGATGAAAATGTGATTCAGAAGTCAATTTCCACTACATTCATGGGTCCATGAAACAATAAATATTATTTCACAGGATCCATGTTCTTTAATATTTTACACAATTCTGTATATATTAATTAGATCCTAAACCATAGAGCCTCGATTTTAGTTTTATGAGATACCTTTCCTCATTTGAAATTCTTTTGATTTATCAATATTTATTGTTTAATTTTGTAGGAATGCCCATTTTTGTCTATTTTTAGCCAAATAAGAATAAATTCTAGACTGTGTCATACACTTGTCCTATTTTTAATAGGCTAGATAAACTGTGAGCATACATCATCAAAAGAATACATCATACAACATAAACTTCCATGTACTTTCCATGGGCATGGATACACACTCATACTATAGAAAAACACCTTAGAGAATATATAACAACTTCAGGTTAAAGCTAAGATGTTAAAACCTTAGAACCCTTTTGTTCTTTAGGGTTCTGTAGATAACAGCAAAGCCATTTCTATGTCATTCCAAGTGTTTCTTTAATATCAAACCAGTTCCTTCTGTTTATCGACACCAGATATTTTCAAGCTTTTTTATGAGGAAGGCATTCTTGCCTTGAAGCTTTGCAGTGGCTGATGGTAGGAGCAATGGTGCCCCTTTTCCATCAGAAATGCTTTCGGGTCATGCTTTGGGAGTGAGGACTTAGAGCAGCCACCAGCCTGTCACTCAGGAGGCTTGTTCAGAATTAGACAAGGATGGAAAGAAGGGTATTTCTCAGCTTTGGTTTATAACCTTGCCACCAAAACCCTTGCAAAATGTTAAATTTCAAATACATTGCAAATCACTTTAATTTAGATGATGATAAACATTATTTTATTTTGTTACCAGGGATTAAACCCAGGGACACTTTACCAGAGAGCCACATCCCCAGCCCTTTCTGTTTTATTTTTAGACAGGATCTCACTAAGTCACTTAAGGTCTTGCTAAGTTGCTGAGGGTAGCTTTGAACTTTCAATCCTCCTACCTCAGCCTCCTGAGCCACCAGAGATTACAAGCCCAGTGATTGTAAGCATCTTAAGTGACCCCCAACCCTAACAGTGATAATCAGTTTGTCAGACTCCCAAATTGCAGTTCACACATTTATACAGACAGAAGATTGGTAACTAAATTAGACATTCTATCAATTTTAACCTTTGATATATATAGTTAACCCAACTTCAGGGACATGTATATCTGTTTACTTTAGGGGAGAGAAATTGTTACTTTTTTTTTCTGCATGGTAAAAATGTTAAGTCATGTGAACTGAAATTTTTTGGTTTTAAATTATTATCTCAGAAATGGAAAAACTACAGTTTATTCTGGAAAGCTAAGTTCTAAACACATAAAACCAGCAAATTCCCACACATGTTAGGAGTCAAAATATGTTTTTCAATTATAATTCATATTTCGAAAACTCTCAGTGCACTGGGCACAGTGGCACATGCCTATAACCCCAGCAACTTGGCAGGCTGAGGCAGGAGGATCACAAGTTGAAAGCTGGCCTCAGCAACTTAGAAAGAACCTCTCTCAAAATAAAAAATAGAAAGGGCTGGGGATGTGGCTCAGTGGTTAAGCACACCTGGATTCAATCCCTGGTACTAAAAAGAAAAACAAAAAAACCTTTCAGTACTTTGTCTAATTAACCACATGCCATAACCTGTCATGACAGCTGTTCCAGCTGTATCACTATAATTTGGCTGGATGGGGATGAAGTATTTGCTCAAAAATCTATTGAAATAAGATCATCAAACATGTTTAGACTTTCTCTTGCCATTACTGGAGACAGCCTAGTTTAGAGATTGGCATCTCCCTGTTCAGCCCCACAAGTTTCTCACCCACCAAATTAGGATGATAGACTTGTCCAACCTACCTCAGAAGGTTGTGGGAAAGATCAAATTATGTAACAGGTGTGAAAGTGCTTTCAAAATGTTTTTTAAAAGTGCCATGCATAAAGAGTTAATATATTATTCAAATCCATAAGCAGGTTATTGTTATTTTTTTACTGTTTGAAAAGAAGTAGCATCATCCACATGAGTGTCTTGAGTGAATATGTGAGCCTTTGGCCTTCTCAGCAGTTGCCCTTTCTCTTACCACCTCTTGCTTCCAAATTTAGCACCCAAACCTGTAGTACTTGGAGGGAAAAGATCCAATGAATCTGAGAAAGAGCTTCTGATGCAAATGAGTTGATCAAATGGTATTGTCTTTCATAGGGGACATCTTTGGCTAATTGTACTTTACAACTAGAATGGCTGATTCAAGGCATTAACTGAATGTGAGTATAATCTTTTCAGCCTTGTAAGTGTGAAAATAAGCATTAAAATTGATTGTTGAATACAGCATTTCCTTGGAAAACACCTTAGAACATTAGTTTTATGGTTATGAGTGTATGTGCCAATACTTCTCAGCCAATGCATTATGGATGTGAGCTTTTGTGGACTGCTTCTCTGAGTCATTGACTCAAATGTTGTATATGTTTCTTCACGTAATAAATTAATTTTTCAATTTCTCCTTGCATTTCATTCTTTATTCAGTCCTTCCTGACTTTTTCTTTCTTTCTTTCTTTCTTTAACTTCAGGAAATATTTTAAAAGACAGAAATTTGAAAATGGTTTCGTTGTTATTGGTTGGTTTTGCAATCTCACATAGACATTCTTTTTGTAGGATGAGAAATTTGAGAGTGCTAGGATTCAGCCTTGTAAAACAGCCATAGTCCATGAAAACTCCTCTGCTTGTTTAATAAGCATTTACTTTATTTATTAAAGGTGCACTGCTGGGTACCAAGATTCTGCTCAGTTTTATGTTCAGTTGCCAAATGTGATGCCAAAAGAGATGCAGTATATATATATATCTTTTAGACTAACGTAAATGGTATATTGACCCAGAAATATAAAACACCAAACGAGTGGCTTCATATTAACATAAACAAATAATTGAATTAAATCGCTGTCCATGGTTGGAAAAAATATCAGTCATTAAAAGGGATCATTTCCTACACATGGACTGTTAAATAATTCCTTCACTTCTGAAGGTGGCGTAAGACTTAGATATAGATAAGCTTTCTTTTAAAAACAGCTTTATAAAGGTTCATATGCAAAAATTGCATGTATTGAATGTGTAAAATTTCATGAGTTTAAACATACTTCTTGGTTTTCTCTTTTGGGAAGAACACATGAAATCTACCCTCTTCACATTTTAAGTTCACAATACAATGTTGTCAACTATATGTCCTATGTTGTACAGCAGATTTATAAAAAATAATGTTTTGTTGGTACTCCATGAGTTAATGAATCTTTTTTTTTGTAGTTGTAGATGGACAGTATGCCTTTATTTTATTTTTTATATGGTGCTAAGAATCAAACCCAGTGCTTTGCGCGTGCTAGGCACTGCCACTGAGTACAGCCCTAGCCTAAACTTATTCTTTTATAACTGAACCCTTATAACCTTTGAATAGCTCCCTATTTCTCTTCTCCTCAGCTCCTAGCAACCACTCTTCTACTCTTTAGTTCCATGAGTTGGACTCTTTTAGATCTCTCATATAAGTGGAATCATGTAGTATTTGTCCTTGTATGTCTGATTTTTAGTATGCACTCTGAATTCATTCATGTTGTCATAAGTGGCAGGATCTCCTTTTGTAGGGTTGGAGAATATTTTATTATACGTTTATATCACATTTTATTCATTCATCTGTCAGTGGACATTTGGATTGTCTTCATATCTTGGCTATTGTGAATAATGCTACAATGAACATGTGAGTGCAGATGTCACTTTGAGATCCTGATTTCATTTATTTTGGATACATTCCTAGAAGTGGGATTTCGGATCATATGGTATTTTTGTATTTTTAATTTTTTGAGAAGCCTCCATTATATTTTCCATACTGGGTGCACCATTCTATATCCCTACCAACAATGTAAAGTGTTCCAACTTCTCCACATCCCCACCAACACTTATATCTGGTTTTGGTTTTTATAGTAGCCATCCTAACAGGTGTGAGGTGATATCTTGTGATGTTGATTTGCATTTCCCTGATAATTGGTGATGTTGAGCACCTTTTCACATACTTGTTGACCATATGTATGTTTGCTTTGGAGAAATGTCTATTGGAGTCCTTTGTCCATCTTTTAATCGGATGGTGGTGGTTGTTCATATATTTTGGAGATTAAACCCTTATCAAATACATTGTTTGGAAATATTGTCTCCCATTCAGTAGACTGTCTTTTCATCCTGTCGATTGTTCCCTTTGCTAGGCACAAGTCTTTTCAAAGATATCTCTTGGTGTTAAGAAAACAGAATGTCAGCCCAGCAAGATGGCACACACCTGAAATCCCAGCTGCTGGGGGAGACTGAGGCAGGAGGATCACAAGTTCAAGGCAGCTGTGGCAACTTAGCCAGACGCTGTCTCAAAATAAAAAATAAAAACGACTGGGGATATAAGTCAGTGATAAGGTTCCCCTGAGTTGCCATCCCCAGTATCAGGGGGGAAAAATTATATATATATATTTTTTTCAAATAAGAAAACTGAATGTCACCAAGTATAGAGTTCAAGTAGGCCGATCTGAAATTACAATTATGTTTGCAAATGTTTTATTTTGAAGTAATTTCAAATGAATAGAAGAACCTCAGGAATAGCAGGATTTTAAAAAAAATCTTTTACCCAGATTTATCTATTTTTGTCTCTCACTCTTTCATGATCCATTTGAGATTATGCTGCAGAAATTACACCCTTTTGTGTCCTGGCTTCTATTTATTTATTTATTGGCATTACACCCTTTTATTCATAAATATTTTCTTGCATTTTTCCTAATAAAGGCTAAAATGGCCACAGTACAATTATCACACGGGGGACTTTGAACATTGATACAATACTTGTATCTAATCTAGAATCCATATTCCATTTAGTATCTTTGCCTTTCACAACATTTGTCTTCACAAAGTGTCCACAACCACTTAAATCAACTGAGTGCTCTTCTGTGGGGTTCTCTTTATTTAAAACTATGAGTAAGCTTTAACTTCCCTGTGAATACTTGGAAAAGTACAACAGACTTTGAAAAGTTATTTGAAGAAAATACATACATGCTGTCAGTACTGAAAATAGCTTAAAACCATAGATTTGAAATGTTTATAGGCAAACTGGATAATTCTTTCACAGCTACTTTTATACACACACACACACACACACACACACACACACACACACACAAATACATACTTACCAGGGATTGAATTCAGAGGAGCTTAACCACTGAGCCATATCCCCAGCCCTTTTTTATATTTTATTTAGAGACAGAGTCTTGCTAAGTTGCTTAGGGCCTCACTAAGTTGCTGAGGCTGGTTTTGAACTTGCAATCCTCTTGCCTCAGCCTTCTGCATCACTGAGATTACAGGCGGGTGCCACCGTTCCTGGCCACAACTACCATTTTAGGCTTCACGTATTTGCCACTGAATATGTGAGCCCACTGTGTCAGCTCTGTAAAACGATGTTTTGTCCCAAGTTTATAAATATTCGGAATGTGATGAGAGAAGTACATACTATTCTGCTATGACCATATTTCTCTGAGTGTCCCCCTCTCAGGAGGGTGTATTTTCTTTTTAAAATATTTTAATTGACACCTAAGAATTATACATATTTATGGGGTACCGTATTATGTTTCAATATATGTGTACACTGTATTATGTTCAAATCAGGGTAAACATGTCTCCTCAAACATTTATCCTTTGCAGTAAAAGCATTCAAAACCCTTTCTTATAGCTTTTTTAAAATATATGGTACATTATCATCATCCATAGTTACCCTACAGTTCAGTAGAATACCAGAACTTATTTCTCCTACCTAACTATAACTCCAGGAGACTGTTTTCTATGAAGATCTTTTCAACTGAAAAAAAACTCA